CTGCCATGCTGGCTGGGGAATTCTGGGAGTTGAAGTCCACTCATCTTAAAGTGGCCAAGTTTGGACAACACTGGCATAAAGGAAGTCTTAAGCACCGCTTTTTATTCCTTTCTTGTTAATGAAAATCAAGGAAGCGGAGAGCGAGGGGTGAAATATGTTGCAAAGAAAGCCTTACAAAAGTTCTTCCGAAGACAGGAACATTCAGACTGGTTTGCCTTTTCTCTCCTTCCCCAAAATGCAAAATGTGTTCTGTGGGTGGGTGAACACAACTTTAAAAAACACCCAGGTGCCAAAAGGTTTGCGTTGATGCACACTCAGATGAAAGACCCTGGCCTCCAGTAGAGTTGCCAACTCTTTCCATGGCCTCTGCGCCTCTCCCTTTCATCGCAGCTCGATCTCAGGCCCTAGACGACAATAAGGCCTCTCTCCAGACTGAATAAAGTTTTCTGGTCAGGATTTCTGGACGTCTCAAGTTGCGGCGGACGTGATAAGAGCAGCAGGCCTGGAGTCTTTCACTCAGTTGGTAGCACAACCCATACCCAGCTTTATACAGTGGGCCACAAAACTTGCAAGTAGACACTACACACGTTTGCTTCCTACACAGAAGTACAGCGGGGTTACAATACTACACTGTGCAGGTCCGAGAGCACCAACCTAGACCACTAAGGTGGGAGTAAGCCCCACTGAAATCAGTAGGGTTTACTTCTGGGAAGACATGCAGAGGGTTACAGCAGTGTTCTTCAAACGCGGGCACTTTAAGACATGTGGACTTCAACTCCCAGATTCCCCAGCCAGCCATGCTGGCTGGGGAATTCTGGGAGTTGAAGTCCACATGTCTTAAAGTGCCCGCGTTTGAGAAACACTGGGTTCAGGGGTTATAGACTAGGACTGGCTACAGTCAGGAGGCTACTATAGGTGGCAAAGGGAAGTCCTGGGTTCAAGGGGAGAGGAAAAGGCAGGACATACCTCTCAAGCCCTCGTGCAGATTCCTAAGCAGCCTTTCTACTACGATCCCCATGCGCTCCCTGTTCCATTTACAAACCTGATTCGTGCCATCTTGTCTTGACCACCACCGGGGAGAAACATTCCCGGGACTCCAAAGAGATCTCAACCCGCTTCCACCCCACGATCTTGGCCATCAGGGGTGTCTGCAAGGGGCGGTCAAAACAGAGACACCCGTAAAACAGGCAGAGTTTTGATCACGCTGCCACAGCCACCATCTTGACTTTTTTGACCACACCCTGCAGATAGCCCTACTGGCAGTATGAGGGTCCTTCTTCCTTCCGGCTGCCTAGGGTCGGCACGAGTTCAGGCGCTAGACAAATAAATTAAAAAAAAAAAAATTGAAACGGGGGCGCAAGTTTTTTTCCCCCTCAAGGCCATGAAGGCAATCGGGATTTAATTTTAAATGAAGTGAATCTAAATTTAAGTAAATCTAATTCACTTAAATTTGATTGATCAAATTTAATACACCTCTGCCATCAACTTAAAACGTCTTCCTCTTCTGTCGTGTGGAAAATCCCCACTCAGTGGCCACTTTTCGGGGGCTTTTGGGTTCGGCACCCCACAAGACCCCTCCTGACCAGCGGTGGGAGAGGCCTTTCCCAGGCCCTGGGGTCTCCTAACCCAAGATGCCACGAGGACCAAACTGGAGACGTTCCACAGGTGAAGCCATTCTCCCCAAGCCCACCATTCCCTCTCAGTGCCTTGGGAAATGCAAACTTTGAAGCTCGTGCAAATTTAAAAGTTCCACTTCCCTGAGACACAGGAAGGAAGGACAATTTAGATGCACAACCCACTCTATCTGTACCAGTGTTTCTCA